AGTCAAAATATTATAATAATGTATTTTCGAGTTGACTGAATATTATAAAATTAATGATAATAAAGCATGGATTAAAGCCCTTTATTAATATTTTGCGCATATATTTTACTTATGTATGAAGTTAGAAGGTAGAAAGGGGTATATGGAATTCGCAAATCAATACATTTAGCAATCTAATAGTAAGTTTTAAAGGAACAACTTAAAAGCGAACCACTTCACATAAGGTAAAAGATAAAACATATATTCTGTATTTGAGTGCCCGAAGAAGTAAACAACACTTACACGCTTGTATAGTATCATAGTACTCTAGTAAAGGCAACACACACAAGCAAAATATGAATAAGAAGCAATAAGAAGTCTGAAGTAATATAGGATAACAGAATAAGTAAAACAAACCTAACAAAGGGAAATAAAAAACAGGAAACATCGGGAAGTCAAGACTAAGAGATCAAGCATCGGACCCAAAAACATCAAAATAGGCTAAAAAAACATTTTGCAAACAGATAGAAACATATAGCTATAGGACATAAAAATAAAGCTATAAATCAAACTTATTTCTGAATATGCATATATGATCAAAGGTAGGCAGGTGGTATGACAAGCAGGCAGCGATTTCAAGTAAAACAATAGAGACAAGAGGACTGAAACGAACATCACAATTATACAAAGCAAGAGATAATTAAAAACGACTTACTTGACCATATTTTTCCCAATCTGCTGGGAAATGACTGTCATTAATAACACGACTCTGAACACATAAAATCATATAAAAGGAAGTAGGTGTAGGGGCAAACATACATTTGGTTGCATTAAAAACGATAAAAAGGAGTAGAAAAAATGAATAGATGATGTGATAGGAAGAAAGTTAAACATTGAGGGAGGTGGAGGGAGAACAGCCAATGAAAGTCGATGGAGTAGAAATAAGAGTCAACTAAAAATAGTGGTAATAATAACAGAATATGAAGAAAGAACAGAGATCTATGATGTCTGTTATAGCTAATAGAAGAACTGATGATAACAGGACTAGTAATAATGATTGTATGTGCTACTAATTCAGTTTTATAAAAAGGACTATTCCCAAAAATAGCATGCTGATGGAAGGAAAAATAAAGTTACAAAATGCAACGTTAAACACAAGTATCGGTTTGATATTGAAGAGCAAGTTAAGTTGAGATAAGTGTAATATTAATGCTTCAAACTCGCCTGTTTTCCGAGTAACTCAACGGTTAATGCGTCCTTGCCCTTAGGATTACAAGCCATATCACGCAGGGTCTCCTGAATCCCTTGGATTTGTTGGCTTACTGCAGAAAGCATGCGCTCTTCCAGTCGATTAAATTCGTCAAAACAGCCCCAAGCACCAACTTGACAGAGGCCAACGAAAATACGACCCATAGCCTTAAGGATAAAAAAATAAAATAAAGATGAATTGGCCATTTAAAGATTAAAGCTATTACTTAACCGAGATTAAAATACACTTAGTTGAAATATGATTTAATCCACAAAAAACTTACCTGCTTTTGTAAAAACTTGTGATAGACAGCTTTCCTTTGAGAAAGACTGCCAGCATAATTAAGAGAAAAAAACAATAAGTAGTCATTTCAAGGTTCCTCGTCGGTGTTTATACAGAATAAAATGTATTCAAGGTATAGACATTTTTG